GTGGAGTATTTGATGTTAATTGAAAGGTGGAAATATCATTGTTTCGAAGATATCTAGTTTTTAAATATCAACCTTTGGGCAGGGGCGTCGCTAGACCTTTTTCAGTGGGGGGGTGTAGAGGCCAACGATTACCGACAAAACTAGCGACCAATTACCGACAAAATTAAATGTCCAATATCTACCAATTTAACCCTATAAACCCGGGGCCGAAGGCTAAAATGTTTTTCCTATGGACTATCTATAGTACTTGCATATGCGCAAATGGTCATTTTCCTCGACGACATAAAATGTACAAATTATTTCGTCAACTTAGTCAGCATCATAGCTGGTATATTTTAATGCAGGCGCAGAGCTAGGATCTTATTTTAGGGAGGGCGGTAGTGAGCAAGCGAATCACTTAAAGAGCGCTCATTAGGGGCCTCGTGTGGGTGATAGGCCTCTAAATTATTAGGAAAAGAAGACGATTTATTGTACCTTTCTCGACTGTTAATCCTTGTCTAAATGAAGTTCCCCCCCCCCTCCCGCGCTAAGCGCGAAAGCTTAGACGTTTCATTAAATTATTATGAAAAGAAGACGATTTGCTGTACCGTTCTCTACTGTTAATCCTTGTCTGAATGAAGCTTCCCCCTCCGCGCGAAGCGCGAAAATTTTGACCGTTTCATTAAATTATTAGAGAAAGAAGACATTTCGTTGTACCGTTCTCGACGCGTCTAAATGAAGTTTTCTCCCTTCGCGCGAAGCGCGGAATTTTTGGCGTTTCATCACAATATAGAGAAAGGAAGACGATTCGTCGTACCGTTTTCGATTCTTATTACTCCCTATTCATCTGAATTCAGTTTCCCCCCTCTTGCGCGAAGCGCCGAAGCTTTGACGTTTCATTAAATTATTAGAGAAAGAAGACGATTCGTTGTACCGTTTTCGACTCTTAATAAGCCCTAATTGTCTGAATTCAGTTTCCCCCTTTAGCGCGAAGCGCGGAAGCTTTGACGTTTCCTTAAAATATTAGAGAAAGAAGACGATTCGTTGTACCGTTTTCGACTCTTAATAAGCCCTAATTGTCTGAATTCAGTTTCCCCCTTTAGCGCGAAGCGCGGAAGCTTTGACGTTTCCTTAAAATATTAGAGAAAGAAGACGATTCGTTGTACCGTTCTCGACTCGTCTAAATGAGGTTTTCCCTCCCTCCCGCGCGAAGCGCGAAAGCTTTGACGTTTCATTAAATTATTATGAAAAGAAGACGATTTGCTGTACCGTTCTCGACTGTTAACCCTTATCTGAATTCAGTTTCTCCTCCTCTCGCGCAAAGCGCAGAAGTTTTGACGTTTCATTAAATTATTAGAGAAAGAAGACGATTCGTTGTACCGTTTTCGACTCTTAATAAGCCCTAATTGTCTGAATTCAGTTTCCACCTCTCGCGCGAAGCGCGGAAGTTTTGACGTTTCATTAAATTATTAGAGAAAGAAGACGATTCGTTTGTACCGTTTTCGACTCTTAATAAGCCCTATTTGGTGTACTGTTTCGTCTCTTAATCCTTATCTGAATTCAGTTGTCCCCCTTCCGCGCAAAGCGCGGAGGTTTTGGCGTTTCATTAAATTATTAGAGAAAGTAGACGATTCGTTGAACCGTGCTCGACTCTTACTCTTAGTAAGCCCTAATTGTCTGAATTCAGTTTCCCCCTTAAGTGCGCGGAGCGCGGAAGCTTTGACGTTTCCTTAAAATATTAAAGAAAGAATACGATTCGTTGTACCGTTCTCGACTCGTTTAAATGAAGTTTTTTGGGCGTTTCATCACAATATAGAGAAAGGAAGACGATTCGTCGTACCGTTGTTGACTCTTAAACCTTGTTTGAATTTAGTTTCCCCAAAAATTTTAAACCTCTGATTTCTTTAGCTGATATTATAGGAAAATTAAACTTCGAGAAATTACAAGTATTGTAGTTGTAGTCACTCTCGAAGTCGTCACAGCGGATAAAAAGTCACAGTTCGTAGGGAAAAAAACTTGTCGGCCGACCGACAATATACATCTCACCGACTTCAAACTTCTGCATTGATATAGTACATGAGGATCGAGCAAGAATACCGACACAGCTGACCCGACATAGCAACATATTTACCCGTGTCTTTCTTGCTCCCTCGACGAGACGACTCCACCCAACAACCCCCTTCTCTCTTCTACTCCCACTCCTCCTCTCTCAGGCTCTTACCTCTCCTCTCTTTCACCCCCGTTTCTTTTGTTTCCCTTTTACTATTTTCTTTCTTCTTTTTTCTCCCTTTTCTTTCTTTTCCTTTCTTTCTTCTCCTCCCTCTTTTTCTTTTTTCTCTTTCTTTCTTTTTTCTTTCCTTTCTTTTCCTTTCTTTCCTTTCTTTTCCTTTCTTTCTTTTCTTTTCCTTTTCTTTTTTCTTTTCTTTCCCTTTCCCTCTCTTTTTTTCCTTCCCCTTTTCTCTTTTTTCCCGACGGCAGCGCAATTTTACCGACAATATCCTGACAGGTGGGGGGGTGTCGCACCCCCCCCCACACCCCCCCTTTGGCGACGCCCCTGCCTTTGGGTAGTTGCTTAAAACTCTTATCAGCTCAGTGGTTGTTGTGGATGCATAAATATGCAAGAAAGCTGCAATGCAAAGAGTATAAAGAATGTACCGTAGCACCATTTTCAAATGAGAAGATAAGTTGATATGTTGCTGGGTGTTAATCCACGTGTTATGTGTTTCCTTATACAATGCAGGTAGTCTGGCTTTGGTTCTGTGGACTTTCAAAGATTCCCATTTTAGATTTTCCAGCATCTTTGTAACACTTGATTCCCTGTCATAGTCCCTCGTTGTGAATGTTTAGTTTGTCCTGGTCTGACTTCTGCTGTGGGTCCCATGTACTGTACATGTAGCTGCATAGAACTCTAATTTGGGCCTACATGTAATTTGATGAAGTTTGGTCAATATGTGTGGCCCAACCGAGTCCCTTTGAATTCAAGTAGGGGTGGTGTTGCACTTCTTCCAGGGTGACGTTGCCCAACCTGTACTTGGTTTGAACTGGTTTCTTTGTATGGGTTACCGTATTTAATTTGAAAACTGTGGCTCCAATTGCTGCTGTATTAAAAACTGTTCTATTGATTCTCAACATTTCAAACACCACTGTACAAAACTCAACTGATGTCACTAAAAATCGGTACTTTAGTGAGTAAAATACAACTTTTGTCTCGCCTGCATAGCAAAAAAGCGAGACATAGGCGCTGCTTTTCCGGTGACTGTGGCGGCGTTGGCGGCGTTGACAGCGTCAACATCAAAAACTTAACTTAAGGTTAAGTTTTTGAATTTTTGATATAATTTGGAAGTATAAGTCCTAAGTCAATGAAACTTGGACTATAAGGTAATCCAGTATCCCCAATCATGTGAGTAGAATTCAGGTCAAAGTTCAGATGGCCAGGGAGATCATGGCAAACACTACTGGTGTTTTCACTACCGGTGTTTTCACTACCGGTACATATATTCTTTAGACCATTGGGATAGTAATACCAAAAGAAAATTGGAATAGCCAGATTATTCGTTATGTATTTCCTTTTTTATTTTTGTTTATGTATTTTATTGTTTTTTTTGTTTTATTTTAATTCTAACTTAAATTCAACTATTTTGAACCCCAAAATAAACACCTAAGCTATAAACAAGAACAAATAACCAATGTTCTATCTCTTTTTTCCATACATATTTTGTACATAAATCATGAAATGAGCGATTTTGGACTGACATGCAAAGACAAAGGGTTGAGTGACTTTGTAACGGTAGGTACGATTTTCGAAAAATTTATTTCAAAATATGCGCAAGGCTCGAAAGAAAAAGGCGTAAAATTTCAGCACATATTCTTTAGCATTGAAAAATAATCACAAAAAATTTCGAGAGGGGGGGGGGGGGCGGCTAGATAGGATGAGGGCTACCATATTGTTTAAAAGTTTTGCTAACTTCATTTTGTTTAAAGTGTGGTATTTCATGTAAAATGTTATTTAAGTTGGTGCTAGAATTTCTAGCGCCCTTTATGACCACAAATTGAGAGAATTGTCTTTACCTTAGCTGTTGGTGAGGTGTCCTGATCCTTACCTTTTCACCATATTCTGAATCTTCTCCCCCTCTCCCCTCCTCCCCCTCCCCCTCCCTCCCCTCTCCATTTTCCATCTCTCTCTCTCACTCTCCCTCCTCTGTCTGTCTGTCTCTCTCCCTCTCCTTCCCCTTTCTCTTCCTTCCCCCTTTCTCTCTCACTCTCTTCTCTCTCTCTCTCTGTCCCTTCCCCTACTCTCCTCCCTCTCTCCCTTCTCTCTCACTCTCCTCCTTCTCTCCCTTCTCTCTCACTCTCCCTCTCTATCTTGCTCTCTCTCTCTCTCTCTATATCCAGCCTCTCCCTCCTCTGTCTGTCTGTCTCTCTCCCTCTCCTTTCCCTTTCTCTTCCTTCCCCCTTTCTCTCTCACTCTCTTCTCTCTCTCTCTCTCTCTCTCTCTCTCTCCTTCCCCTACTCTCCTTGCTCTCTCTCTCTCTCTCCATCCAGCCTCTCCCCTTCCCCTCTCTCACTCCCCCTCTCTCTCTTACTCTCCCTCTCTCTCTTACTCTCCCTCTCTCTCTCTCTCTCTCTATCCAGCCTCTCCCCTTCCCCCTCTCTCTCTCCCTCTCTCTCTCTCACTCTCTCTCTCTCTCTCTCTCTCCCTCCTCTGTCTGTCTCTCTCCCTCTCCTTCCCCTTTCTCTTCCTTCCCCCTTTCTCTCTCACTCTCTCTTCTCTCTCTCTCTCTCTCTCTCTCCCTTCCCCTACTCTCCTCGCTCTCTCTCTCTCTCTCTCTCCATCCAGCCTCTCCCCTTCCCCTCTCTCACTCTCTCTCTTACTCTCCCTCTCTCTCTCTCTCTCTCTCTCTCCAGCCTCTCCTCCCCTTCCCCCCTCTCACTCTCCCTCCTCTCTCTCTTACACTCCCTCTCCTTCCTCCCCCTTTCTCACTCTCACTCACTCTTTTCTCTTCTTTTCTCTCTTTATCGAGTATAGGCCATGCTGCAGAGGAAGAAACAGCTGAAGATTGCAGAAGAGAAGAAGATGAAGGTGGAGAAAGCTAAGGTCATTGAGGTCAAGGTCAACATGTGGATTGAGGAAAGAACAGCTAAGGAGCAGGAATCGAGAAAAGCCAACTGGAGGCTAGAGAAGACAAAGAAACAACTTGAAGCAGAAGAGAAGAGGGGAGTCCAGGAGAAAGCAAAGGTGAGTGTTAAAGGGGAAGTCCACCCTGATATTAAGTTGCTTTTAATAAAAGCAGGAAAATGAGAGAAACCGGTCAGTGAAAGTTTGAGCAAAAACCGACTAGAAATAAGAAAGTTATACATGTATATTTTCAAAGTTGTCATCATTGAAACACAAATTGGCAACACTGTGACATATCTTGCAAACTCCTCTCCAATTTTATAAACTTTCGTTTTCTTACTGATTGGTTAGGGGAAATATGATTCATACAGGGGTTGTATAAAAACATCTTTGAAATAATTGTATCCCCCGGCAGTATGCCGGTGGGGTACTTTGGATTCAGCAGCGTTACGCTGCCGCGTCCAATTCAGGCCAGATAAAAACCTGATTTAAATCGGTTTCCCGATTTAAAAAAAATAGTTTTTCCCGATTTTTTCCAGATTTTCCCGATTTTTTTTTTTTTTTTTTAACCAATTTTTTTTCTTCCCTATTTGATCCTGATTTTCCCGATGTCCCTCTTATTGTATCCCCCGGCAGTATGCCGGTGGGGTACTTTGGATTCAGCAGCGTTACGCAGCCGCCGCCGCCGCGTCATATTCTTGTGTGCGCTCTAACTGCCACATTTCTTGACGGATTTCTTTCAAATTTTGTATGGAGGTGTATCCTGGTATAATCTACATACCTATAACTTTTGGTGATGCTGCCCCCAGTGTTCCGTCTTCTATAGGGTACAAGGCCATATTTTTGTGGATGGTTTGTGTGCAATCTATAGGCCACATTTTTTAAGGGATTTTGTTCAAATTTTGAATGAAGGTGTATCTTGGTATAGTCTACAAGCCTATAGATTTTAGTGATGCTGCCTCCAATGTTTCGTCTTTTATAGGGTCAAAGGTCATATTTTGATAGATGTCTTGTGTGCACTCTAGTGTGCGCTCTTAACTGCCCCATTTTTTGACGGATTTCTTTCAAAATTTGTATGGAGGTGTATCCTGGTATAATCTACATCCCTATAACTTTTGGTGATGCTGCCCCCAGTGTACCGCCTTCTATAGGGTACGAGGCCATATTTTTGTTTGTGTGCGCTCTATAGGCCACATTTCTAAAGGGATTTTGTTCAAATTTTGAACAAAGGTGTATCTTGGTATAATCTACAAGCCTATAGATTTTAGTGATGCTGCTTGTATTAAGGTTCATTATAGTTTACTCTAGACCTCCACAAATTTGGTGCTGCTACCCCCCAGTATTCCATCTCTTATAGGGTCAAAGGTCATATTTAAAGGAATATCTTGTGTCGCTATGCAAATCACATTTCTTTCAAATTTTCTATAAATATGCATCATAATCTAATCTACACACCTATTGTTTTGGTGATGCTGCTCCTAGTCTTGACAATAGTCTGAGCCACTTGCGGCAATCTCTACGTCATCCTTTTGTTTCACAAAGAGGAGAGGGAATCTTTGTCCCTCCTTCCACATAAGGATAACACAAAATTGCTTCCACTGCCGGGGGATACATTCGCATTGCGCGGCAATACAGATTGCGATATTTCTAGTTTTCTCTATTCTTCCCTATTTTGCCCTATTTTTGCCCAATTTTTTTACTCAAAAGGGGGGAATGTTGTTAGATGCCATTTTTTCCCCGCGAATCCTCTTTTTTTTTTTTTTACGCAAGGGGGCCGTGGTTGAGGGGAAAACAAAAAAAACCTATTTTTTTTTTAGTGCTCACTATCACCCCTGCATATTATTAGGTGGTCTGTCGATGACAGATTACCTATTGATTTCGTTAAAATTTTCTTTATTTATTTATTTATTTATTTATTTATTTTTATTTCTTCCGTACACGTTTGTGTGCACACGTTAACTCAAAATCGACATGGTCAGTTTCCTTTGAATTTCTGTCAGTCATCAGGCCCTATAATATCAAGTTCCCGAAACCTTTTTCAAGTTCATGGGGTCATCGTGACGTCATCTAGGCGCCATTTTGTAAAAATCAGGTCATTATCATATCTCGATAATGAGTCATCAAAAATAAACCATATTTGGTATACATCAACTTCAGGTCAAAGGTCAACTAAAAATGTCAACAAATTCCGTACGCGCGCATCAAAATTTTAAAAATGCTCAAATTCGTTCCAAATTTTTTTTGCACACGTTTCAGGCCATTGTAAGCTTTTTCAAAATTTTGCGCGTGAGCACTTATGTGTGCGCGTACTGACATTTTACAACATAGAAACGCCAAATTTTCTCTATCAACGTGTTAACCACTTTTTACCAAGCATTTTGATACCTTGTTCACCTTTTTCTGACCAGTAATAACGCAATGAGTGTCCGTCAAAGTTTACAGTACGCGCGGATCTGCGCTATCTATATCCAAAATACATGTGCAAAAACATGCCTATACAAAATTCATTGTAACTCTTCAGAATGGGTAGATACCCCCCAATTTCTTTCATATTTATATAGATTATGAGTTGGAGATATGATTTCATGTCTCATTTGACCCTCAATTAACTCATCACGTCATCATAATGGCCTCCGAACTCAAAATTTCAATTTGCATATTATGACGTCAGCAGATTTTTAGAAGTTGATTGTATCACTGTAAATATTGATCAATTTTCTTTCAAATTTTGATATGTTCTACCTGAGAATATTCTCTACAAATGCAGTCAAACAATATTTCATTTTGACAATGGTATCATGGCGTATTTTTGCGATTAAAGGGAAAGTCCACCCCCCAAATAAGTTTGTTTCGATAGAGGCAGAATAATAAGAAAATCAGGTGAGTGAAAGTTTGAGCAAATTCTGAATGAAAATAAGAAAGTTATGAATTATTGAAGTTGTGATCAATCAAATACAAATTGGCAACTCTGTGACTTATTATACGAGCTCTCCTTCATTTGCTTTGTGCATAATATTCCATAAAATCATGTTTTCTTCGTTATTAATGACGGAATATATATTTGCACCTTGCAGGGGGAGTATAGAAACATATTTGCAATTATTATATTTAGGGTGCATGTATGGTTGAAATTTTTCTTGAGGGAAAATGAAAATTTTAGATTTTTTTAGTACTGAGCAAATGGAAGTTGAGCTCGCATGATACGTCATAGAGTTGCCAATTTGTGTTTGATTGATCACAACTTCAAAAATCCTAACTTACTTATTTTTAATCGGAATTTGCTCAAACTTTCACTGACTTGTTTCTCTCATTTTTCTACTCCTATTAAAACTAACTTTATTTGAGGGTGGACTTTCCCTTTAAAGGAGGCATGTCAATTTTTCACATTTTCCATGTATTCTCTATGGGACATGTCCTTTTTTCAAAACTGGATTTTACATTCTCTTCTTTCGCGAGCAATATCTCCGTCGTTTTATCTTTGTTTACGCTGAGCTTTGAGTATGTTGTAGCTGAGACATAAGCTATCACAAGTGTGCCCTTTATTTTTCGATCAGATGCCGGGATCATGCTCATATTTCACTTACAAAGTGGGATTTGAGAATTCCATTTTTTCCGTTTACGTGTAATCTCTAAGGGAAATGTTTTGGTATATCGGTAACGCACTTGACTTCCGACCTCGAGGTCCCTGGTTCGAGTCCGGGCGTCTCCAACAATTTTTTTTCTTCACTTTTTTAAAATTTTTTTGACCTTTCACTGTACCATCTCCTTTGAATATTAAACCACGTACAATCGCAAATAATGTAATAAACAACCATATTTACTTTATTATTACTCTATAATCACTTGATCCATTACATTTTGCCTGTAATCCTTATGGGAGATGACTTCTTCTCAAATCTGGATTCTACATTCTTGTCTTTTGCGAGCAATATCGCCGTTATTTTGGCTTGATTTTTGTTGATTTTTGAGTACTATATACTATCTAAATGTTCTCTCATTTTTTTCAGTCTGATGTCATCATGGTCTGTTGATGATAATCATCAACATCATCACGATCATCATCATGATCATCATCGTCATCACCATTACTATCAAGATCATCATGATCATCATGATGATGATCATTGTTTACATGTCTATATAATAACTTCTCCTATATAGTAAATATTATAATCTATCATAAGACTTGAAGACACACCACCTTATTCGTCCTCGTGACGAATTAAATTCTAGTTTTATTCTTGTGTGCGCTCTAACTGCCACATTCCTTGACGGATTTCTTTCAAATTTTGTATGGAGGTGTATCGTGGTATAATCTACACACCTATAACTTTTGGTGATGCTGCCCCCAGTGTTACGTCTTTTATAGGGTAAAAGGCCATATTGTATTCTTGTGTGCACTCTAACTGCATCATTCCTTGACGGATTTCTTTCAAATTTTGTATGGAGGTGTATCTTGGTATAATCTACAAGCATATAGATTTTGGTGATGCTGCCCCCAGTTTTCCGTCTTGTATAGGGTCAAGAGTTCATATTTTGGTGGGTGTCTAGTTTGCGCTCTGCAGATCATATTTCATGATGGATTTCTTTCAAATTTTGTATAGAGAATTAGAAATGTATCTTGTCACCAACCGACACTTTGGGTGAAGCTGCCCTTATTGTTCCGTCTTTTATATGGTCAAAGGTCAAATTTGTCTTTAATCCGCTCTAACTGCCACATTTCTTGACAGATTTCTTTCAAATGTTCTATGGAGGTGTGTCTTAGTACAATCATCTACACCTTTTTAGTGTTTGGTGACACTGCCACCTGTGTTCCGTCTGTTATAGTGGTTATAGGGTCATATTTTGGTGGCTGTCTTTTGTCCGGTCTAACTGCCACATTTCTTGACAGATTTCTTTCAAATTTTCTACAGAGATGCATTATACTCTAATCTACACACATATATTGTTTTGGTGATGCTGGTCCTAGTCTTGACAATAGTGGCGATCTCTACGTCATCCTTTTGTTTCAGGGAGAGGGGATCTTCATCCCTCCTTCGAACATAAGGATGACACAAAATCGCTGCCCCTCATTCGCATTGCGCAGCAATATAGATTGCGATATTTCTAGTTATATTTAGGGTGAATGTATCATTGCAAATTTCCTTCAAGCCTATCTGCACTAGTTTGGCCAAGAGAGATTAGACCTCACTGCGTGGTCACTGACAGGTGGTTATCAGCTCTAAATTGACATAGGAAAAAGGAACCAACTGTCACTGCGCATAGGGACTTTCATGGTGTTAGTGATATGCGCTATACAAATAATGTTCATAATTATTATTATTACTGCTTAGGCATTGTTTGCTATATAGAGGGTGTAAGTAGCTATGAGTAGTGCAGTGGGGCTTTAACAGAAAGTATAGACTTATGAAATTTTTAAGTACAGGGCAAATAGCAGGGGAGCTTGAAAATAAATGCAATATATGGCACAGTGTTGCCAATTTGTTTTGCAACTTCAAAAATTAATATCTTTCTCATTTTTAATCAAAATTTAATTGAAACAAGAGACCAACCTTTGTCATCTCCCATTGAAAGATGTCACTTAAAATGAACCCTTGTGATTGTATTATCATTCTTTGTAGTCTTTAAAATAGTTTTTTTTAAATCTCTATAGTTTTGTTTAAATCTGTGAGATTCTGTTTTCTGCAATTGCCAGAATAAGAAATCACCTTTCATCTTCCCTTTACTTTGAAGGAGAACTATGGAGAATGGAGGAGCAAGAAGAAGGCTGCAAAAGAGATGAAGGAGAAGAAGGAGAAGGAAGAACAAAGAGCTGAAGAAGAAGCCGAAAGGAGGAGGAAAGAAGAGGCGGAAGATGCATACCTGAAGTGGAAAGAAGAGGCCAAGACGAGACCATTTCCCCTAGCTACTCAATTTGGCTTTCCTCAGGGCTCTGTCAAAGGTAAACCAGTCAAAGTTACTGCCCCTTTCACAAACCCAACTTAAAGGAGCATTATATAAGTGTGTGAATGGGACCACATCAAAACAATGCACATCAGTTTTGTGCTGCTATACAATACAAATAATTGCCACAGCATAATCATTTATATTATAATTTGAGTAAGGAAATCCTTTGATATTTAAAACTTTCAGGGTTTTGCACGCCTGAATGTTTGCACGAAATGTTTGCTTTAAAATGAGTTTTAGAACGTTCAGAACCTGATTTGAATGAACAGCATTTTCACATAGAAAAACAAAAAAAAGGCAAATAAAAACAGTGCAATGTTTGTACCGAGCCTGCAATGGGCAGACACCGGATAAGTCGCCATTTTGGTGGAGTTGCCAAGCAAAACAGCGTTACGTGCGTGTGTGTTCCATTTAAGTGCGAGTTTGGACAATTTATACATGAAAATATTAGTATTTTCTCGTGCTGAATGTGCAGCAAACATTGCTTTAAATAATGTTTAAATTAATATTAATGATGTTACAGTTGGGAAATACTTCCTGAAAATATCAAACATACCGGGAAGTGTTTTAAAAATATTTTCTCGCTCTACTTTTAAAGTTAAAGGGCAATCCAACGCTAAATAGTTGATTTGTAGGAAAGTAGAAATATAATAAAAACAGAATGTCAAAAGTTTGAAATGAATCGGACCAATAGTAAGGAAGTTATGAATGTATGAAATACATGTATGACATCACTATTAAAGTCTATACGAATCTCAAATTGGTATTTCGGTCAGTGGATTGTGACCTACATGTAGGACTTGGATAACTCTCCCATTTGCTGTGTACAAAAATATTAATTTCTGTTTTTCTTGTAAGTACCTTCTCCCTTGGTGCACTACTCAAAATATAGTTTAGATAGCATATTATATATTTATTTATTTCTAATCTTTTGTCAGGGTAGCCCATTCACCGATAAGTAGTGGTCTTCCATGGGGCCCTGAACGAACAAGAACATATTTACATCGCAAAAGCATAACGTTTATACAGAACAGTGAAAATAAAATTCCATAGTACATTAAGAAAGATATGATACAGCAATGATAGACGTGGCACAAAGGAATACTCGTTTAAAAAAGAAACATTTTTTTATTGACCTAGTTCAACTGTAATGCCAATAGGAAAATATTGATTAAGTTGCAATTATGAGAATAAATCATGTTAATATTACAGAATATGCATGTAGTGTATGTTCGGCTGAGCCATTCAAAAATTAATTGACAGAAGAAGCCGTTCTCATCGTATTATCTATTATTCCATTCAAATATAGAGGAAACAATTGGGCTACACTTATAGCAATCAGTGTGAAATCTAGGCACTCTTAAACATCCACAGTCTATTTGCCTTGTATGATGCTCATGTACATCATTAGGATAGATTAAGCCTACCTGAAGGTAAGAAGGTGCTAAGTTATGAACGCATTTATATATCATCATTATGCGACTTAACTCCTAACATAAAAAAATCCTCTATGTGGGCATACCTTAAACCATTATGCATGGCCCTACAGAGGATTTTTTCCTGTTGGAGACCGGGGGAAAATGCAATGAATTAATGATAATTTATTGCATTTTCTTTGTTTTTTTTGTATTTGTGAGGGCAGTGACGTACCCTAGCCCCCGCTACATACAGTCATGATTCAGTGGCTAAGCAATGGCCTCGTTACTGTGAGGCCCCAGAATAACAATCGTGTCGATCAGCTATAATAGCAAGCTTTCGATTTAGGCACCCGACGTGAGCTACTATGTGTGACGTCATATTTATCCCTTGCGCATGCGTGAGCTTCTGGGCCCACGTTCCCTTCCATATCACCCGACAGGAGTCTGGGGCAATTTGCGTGAATCGCCGTCGCCGTGAAAACGTCAACGTGAGTGTAGTTTCATCACCTTCTTTTATGTTATTCTTTGTTTTTATTATTCTATTATTTCCTCTTGCTATCTTTTGTTTCTTCTTCTATCACCTTTCCTTATGTTATTCTTTGTTTTTATCATTCTATCATTTCCTCTTTCTATCTTTCCTTATGTTATTCTTTGTTTCTTCTTTCTATCACCTTCTCTTATTTTATTCTTTGTTTTTTATCATTCTATCATTTCCTCTTTCTATCTTTCCTTATGTTATTCTTTGTTTCTTCCTTCTATCACCTTCTCTTATTTTTATTCTTAGTTTTTATCATTCTATCATTTCCTCTTTCTATCTTTCCTTACATTATTCTTTGTTTCTTATTTTATTCTTTGTTTTTTATCATTCTATCATTTCCTCTTTCTATCTTTCCTTATGTTATTCTTTGTTATGCCTCCGCTACAAATATAGCCGGAGGCATTATGTTTTCTGGTTGTCCGTCCGTCCGTACGTCCCGTTCTCGTGATCGCGTTATCTCAAGAACCAATTGATGGATTCTCTCTAAACTTGGATCATGTATGTATCTTGCAGAGCCAATGAACTGATTAGATTTTGGGGTCACGAGGTCGAAGGTCAAAGGTCACAGGGCTCATTATGTATTCAAAAATAGCTTGTGATCGCAATATCTCAAGAACCGATCAATGGATTCCTGCCAAACTTGGGTCATATATGTATCTAACAGAGCCAATGAACTGATTAGATTTTGGGGTCACGAGGTCGGAGGTCAAAGGTCACAGGGCTCATTATGTATACAAAAATAGCTTGTGATCGCGTTACCTCAAGAACCGATCGATGGATTCGTGCCAAACTTGGGTCATGTATGTATCTAACAGAGCCAATGAACTGATTATATTTTGGGGTCACGAGGTCAAAGGTCACAGGGCTCATTATGTATGCACAAATAGCTCGTGATCGCATTATAATGAGAACCAATAGACAGATTACTATCAAACTCAAGACATGTATATATGTATCTTGCAGAGCCAATTAACTGATTAGATTTTAGGGTCATCAGGTCAAAGGTCATGGGGCTCATTATGTATGACTATAAATAGCTTGTGAATGCATTATTATTAAAACCGACAGATGGATTACAATCAAACTTGAATTTTAAAAATTGCTTCCGTTTGGGTTTGTAAAGTTGCTCTATGGCGGAGGCATCATTTTTGACTGCGCGCAGTCAAAATTCCATCTAGTTTCTTCCTTCTATCACATTCTCTTATTTTATTCTTTGTTTTTATCATTCTATCATTTCCTCTTTCTGTCTTTCCTTATGTTATTCTTTGTTTCTTCCTTCTATCACCTTCTCTTATTTTATTCTTTGTTTTTATCATTCTATCATTTCCTCTTTCTATCTTTCCTCATGTTATTCTTTGTTTCTTCCTTCTATCACCTTCTCGTATTTTATTCTTTGTTTTTATCATTCTTTCAGTTCCTTTTTCTATCTTTCCTCATGTTATTCTTTGTTTCTTCCTTCTATCACCTTCTTTTATGTTATTCTTTGTTTCTTATTCCTTCTATCACCTTCTCTTATTTTATTCTTTGTTTCTTCCTTCTACCTCCTTCTCTTTTGTTATTCTTTGTTTCTTATTCCTTCTATCACCTCCTTTTATGTTATTCTTTGTTTGTATCATTCTATCACTTTCTCTTTTGTCTTTCATTATGCTATTGTTTGTTTCTTCCTTCTATCACCTTCTCTTATGTTATTCTTTGTTTTTAACATTCTATCACTTTCTGTCTCTCCTTATGTTATTCTTTGTTTCTTCCTTCTACCTCCTTCTCTTTTGTTATTCTTTGTTTCTTCCTTCTATCACCTCCTTTTATGTTATTCTTTGTTTGTATCATTCTATCACTTTCTCTTTTTGTCTTTCATTATGCTATTGTATGTTTCTTCCTTCTATCACCTTCTCTTATTTTTATTCTTTGTTTTTATCATTCTATCATTTCCTCTTTCTATCTTTCCTTACGTTATTCTTTGTTTCTTCTTTCTATCACCTTCTCTTATTTTATTCTTTGTTTTTATCATTCTATCATTTCCTCTTTCTGTCTTTCCTTATGTTATTCTTTGTTTCTTCCTTCTATCACCTTCTCTTATTTTATTCTTTGTTTTTATCATTCTATCATTTCCTCTTTCTATCTTTCCTTATGTTATTCTTTGTTTCTTCCTTCTATCACCTTCTCGTATTTTATTCTTTGTTTTTATCATTCTTTCAGTTCCTTTTTCTATCTTTCCTCATGTTATTCTTTGTTTCTTATTCCTTCTATCACCTTCTTTTATGTTATTCTTTGTTTCTTATTCCTTCTATCACCTTCTCTTATTTTATTCTTTGTTTCTTCCTTCTACCGCCATCTCTTTTGTTATTCTTTGTTTCTTCCTTCTACCACATTCTCTTTTGTTATTCTTTGTTTCTTTTTCCTTCTATCACCTTCTCTCATGTTATTCTTTGTTTTTATCATTCTATCATTTCCTCTGTCTATCTTTCCTCATGTTATTCTTTGTTTCTTCCTTCTATCACCTTCTCGTATTTTTTTTCTTTCTTTCCTCATGTTATTCTTTGTTTCTTCCTTGTATCACCTTCTCTTATGTTATTCTTTGTTTCTTCCTTCTACCACCTTCTCTTTTGTTATTCTTTGTTTGTTATTCCTTCTATCACCTTCTCTTATGTTATTCTTTGTTTCTTCCTTCTACCACCTTCTCTTTTGTTATTCTTTGTTTCTTCCTTCTACCACCTTCTCTTTTGTTATGCCTCCGCCACCGAAGGTGGTGCCTGAGGCATCATGTTTTCGGGTTGTCCGTCCGTACATCCGTCCGTACGTCCGTCCCGTTTGACCGTTATCACAATATCTCAAGAACCATTTAAGATTTAAACTTAAGACTCGGGAATAGTATTTATCACCATAGGAAGACGATCTGATTAGATTTTGGAGTACATAGGTCAAAGGTCACAGGTCACAGAGGTCAACTTATGAAATTCCTTGTATTGAGTTTGTTAGCGCGATATCTCAAGAACCATTTGAGATTTAAACTTCAAACTTAAGGATAGTATGTATCACCAT